TGGGACGCCGCCACAGCATGGCTTGACAAGCGGTGTGTCGGTGCGTGCCCGGGATCCGAACCCGGGTCGCCAGCAGTGGAGCGCGCTCACTTAACCACCAAGCCACGGGGCCGGCCCCAGAAAGCTTATTCAGAAGGTACAATCTCAGGCCCACCTTGCCTGACTAAATCCCCAGGTAATTCATATGCATATTCAAATTTGAGCAACACTGCTTAGGTAGTAGTTCTCAAACTTTGGGGTGTATCAGAATCTCCCGGAAAGCTAATAACATCGAGGCCCAGGCCTGTTGAAGTGGGAGAGGGCCTGGGCCTCTGTTTTTCTATCAGGTTCCTGGTGTATCTGATGCTTTCAAAGTTTGAGAAGCACTGCTCTAGGTCACCACCCTCCCCTTCCTCTGTCCCTCTGGGCTCCCCTGATCATTGCTTCTCCCTTCCTTAGCAAGGTTTAGTCTTCATCCTGAAAATTTGGCCCTCTCTTTAAGTAGATCTTTGCAGAAATCCTGCAGGACCCTCAAAAATAAGAGTAAGCCGGGCTGGCCCTGTTGCTTAGCTGTTAAGTGCAGCGCACTCCGCTGCTGGCGGCCCGGGTTCGGATCCCGGGCGCGCACCGACGCACCGCTTCTCCGGCCATGCTGAGGCCGCGTCCCACATACAGCAACTAGAAGGATGTGCAACTATGACGTACAACTATCTACTGGGGCTTTGGGGGGAAAATAAATAAATAAAATTATAAAAAAAAAAAATAATAAGAGTAAGCCAGGTCATTTGAGGGCCGCTACATCATATGGAATTCATTACATCTAGGGAGAAATTCTAAAGTGGTGTCTCCAATTTCAGCCTCCCTGTACACAGGACTAGTCAAATTATGACTAGTGGCTGAAATGAGGCCTCCAGATAAGCCAAGGGAAGCCTTGGAAATCTTGTTGGTCTAAGATTTTTGGTCTTCGTTGACTCTTGAATTATCCTAAAGCTTGTCAATGGCATGAATGAATTTTTTTTGTGTGTGTGAGGAAGATCAGCCCTGAGCTAACATCTGATGCCAATCCTCCTCTTTTTTCTGAGGAAGATTGGCCCTGAGCTAACATCTGTGCCCATCTTCCTCTACTTTATATGGGACGCCGCCACAGCATGGCTTGACAAGCGGTGCCTTGGTGCGTGCCCGGGATCCTAACCGGTGAACCCCGGGCTGCCGCAGCAGAGCGCGCGCACTTATCCTCTTGCACCACGGGGCCGGCCCCCTATGAATGAATTTTTAAGAGACAGATCTGGGTTCAAATCATGCCACTATCACTTACTCTTAGGCAAGTTGCTTCAATTCTCTCTAAACTTCGGTTTCCTTAACTGAAAATTGGAATAATAACCTCATAAGATGTTATGAGGATTAAATGAGATGTAAATTATTGGACACAATGACAGGCCATAGTAAGCACTTAATAAATGGTAGTTATTATTAATTCAGGATCAGCTTAAGCTCATATCACACTCTGTTATATTATGTGCCAGTTATTAACATTTTAATGTGCTATTTCTAAGATATTTGCATTTTAATCCCAGTTCTCATAATACCCTAACTCACTGGTTCTCAACATGTGGTCCCAGGGCCTACTGCATGAGCAATATCTGGGAACTTCGTAGAAATGCAATTTCTGGGGCTCCACCATAGACTGATGAATCAGAAATTCTGGGGTTGGGGCCCAACAATCTTTGTTTTTTTGTGAGGAAGATCATCCCTGAGCTAACATCCATGCCAATCCTCCTCTCTTTGCTGAGGAAGACTGGCCCTGGGCTAACATCTGTGCCTATCTTCCTCGACTTTATATGGGATGCCGCCACAGCACTGCTTGAGAAGCGGTGCATGGGTGCGCGCCAGGGACCTGAACCCGGGCCCCCAGCAGGGAGTGCGTGCACTTAACCGCTCCGTGACGGTGCCGGCCCTCAGCAATCTTTGTTTTAACAACCCCTCCCAGTGATTCTGATACACGCTAAAGTTAGAGAATGATGGCTCTCATTTAAGGAAGCTACTTTGGTGTTGGAAGTTTGATGCAAATTGCAAGGGAGAGGGAAAACAATCTATTTGAGGTGAGGGGGGCTTTAATAGGAGGTAGCCTAGAGAGGTTGGTGCCTGACCTCATTCCGTGGAGGCATACATGGTCTTCAGCATCCAGCCTGCTTCAGTGTTACCTGCACATTCCGAGGAAGTTTCCTCTCCACAACTCCCTCAGCAGTTGAACAGGTTTATGTTCTCCCTGCACCACTCACTGAATCAACAAAATTTTGGAGCTCTCTGACAACACATGGAGTTGGCCTGAGGGTGGAGAGGAAAGTTCTTTGTCCTGAGTTAGTAGTCTGAGCTCAAAGAAACTCTGGGAGGGAGGATTCATTTCATGAAGCAGGAGAGACATCACCCTGGTGAGTTAGAACCTGGTCAGTTTCTTCTTGCCCTTTGAACAGTTCAGATTATCTTAATTTCCTGCTTACTTGCTGTGAAGTGCTGTAAAAATAGCATTCCAAATTAAAACAGTAATCTAAATCTCAGAGACATTGGAAGGATTTTTAATTTAAGAAAATGTCTGCATATTTAATATATCTTGTGGCTTCTCCCCTTTCTTGTCTTTTTCAGTGATTTACAGAGGAAAGAGAAACGCAGAATGATATCGTGTACCACAGATAAAAACAGACTTGACCTAGTGAGTAATTTAAATTGAAATGGTGTGATTTAAAGGCAAAGTTTTTTGTTATTGTTTTTAAAAATTCTTCCCATATCTTTTGCAGAGTTGTCTCAACTGTTAGCGAGTGATAGAAAAAGATCTACTAGAATACAAAATGCCTCCAGGATAGGACAAACTCTTTGGGCCTTTAGAAGAAAACTCTGACTCCGCTTTCTGCGAGCAAGGTCAGATGTGTCCTCACCTGCACAGGAGTTCAAGATCTGCTGCTGAGAGGACTCAGTAGAGAAATGGATCTAGACAGTCCTCTGGAAGGCTGCCAGAGTGAGCCAGCACACTGGGAGAGTCCTGGAAACATGAAAGGAATCTGCTTAGCAGAAATTCTTTCTGAGAATTCACATCCAGACATACATCAGACTTCAACATATCCACTTCATAATTGTTTCATCAACGCCAGCGCTTGGCATACAGCCCTGTAGCCATTCAAGGGCTGGAAACGTTTACTCCCAGAGAAGTCAAAATCAAGCCACCATGCAGAGACACTGCTCGTTCCACGACAAACCACCACCAGGACTTCTGCGAGAGTTGGATAGCAGCAACTTCCAGGGCAGCCTGTAGTAACAAACACCCTCATCTCAAGTTAGGAGGAAGCTGAGCTGCTTGCAGGCTTTGCCGAGTCAAAGCATCACGTGATGTGACCTCTGTGTGAGCATCTGGGAAAGCAGAGCTGCTGGCTTGCTGCTAGAAGGATTGCAGTCACGCTTTTGAGTGAGCAAAGACTTCGGATAGAGGGACAGCCGGGGCAGAGCCTCAAACTAACATACGTGCATCTTTTGGGGAGAAGACCATCCATCTTGTTGGCTGTATCCCCCACTCTACTGTAACTGTTTTTTTCGTCTTTGGAGAGGAAAGTCAATTATATATAATATAAATCTGGTGTACCTAGAAAAGTTTTTGTGCCTCAAATACCAGTAACCTTATTAAAAATTATCACGAGTAGGACTTGTGTAACACACACACAACTAAAGTGTTTATTCCCCAAAAGCATAGCTATGGAGCCAAGAATGTCCGCAGTTAGGAACAGCCATAAAATTCTGCCCAGAGGGAACTGGAGCAAGGAGTTAGGCTTGAGGTAAGCTGGGTGGGAGGGCAAACTTCCCTTTCTATGTCTCCTTTCCCTTTCTGTGTAAGAATGATGAGAGATATATAATGTTTCACTGACAAAAGATGCTCTCTGGAGCATCTGCACTTGAAAAGGAGACAAGCCAAATACATAGATAAAAATGGAATTTGCTGCATCAGAGAGCACACGCAGAGTAGGGCGGAGTTTAGTTTGCTTTTGTTCCTAAACACCAGTGAATGAACAGGGGCTGGGCTAGGTGCATCCACATCACTTGGGGAACTCATTACTTAACAGAGATTCCCTTCAGGGTTAGAACCCTGAAGATTCTAACTCAGTAGGTGAGGGACCAAGCCCGGGAATCCATATTTTTAACAAACTCACCAAGTGATTCTGATATACGGCCAGGTTTGGGAAGCTTAAAAGGGTTGCCTTGGGGCCGGCCCCGTGGCTTAGCGGTTAAGTGCCCGCGCTCCGCTACTGGCGGCCCGGGTTCGGATCCTGGGCGCGCACTGACGCACCGCTTCTCTGGCCATGCTGAGGCCGCGTCCCACATACAGCAACTAGAAGGATGTGCAACTATGACATACAACTATCTACCGGGGCTTTGGGGAGAAAAAGGGAAAAAAAGGAGGAGGATTGGCAATAGATGTTAGCTCATGGCCAGTCTTCCTCAGCAAAAAGAGGAGGATTAGCATGGATGTTAGCTCAGGGCTGATCTTCCTCACCAAAAAAAAATAAAATAAAAGAGTTGCCTTGGTGAGCTCTTCCTTGAAGCAAAATTTCAGTGATGGGAGGCTGAGAAGTATTAAAAGATAAACTGAGGCATATTAAAAATTGTAAGAGTTTATTTGAGCAGAAATTGATTTGCATTCAGCAGCACCAAACAGGAAGTGGTTGTGAGCTCTCTTGGGGGAAAGACTTTTGTGGAGAGGCAGAAGCAAAACAAGGGTATTATTTGATTGGCTATAGCTTAAGCGGTTGCCTTTTTGGGGAAAGCCTAGTTGGCTGTTTGTGATTCGCTGTCCTTAGATTTTGATTTCTTAACCTTGAGGCATTTACAGGCTTAGGTTTTGGTTTGCTTACGTAGGCTGCTAAGGCATTAGAACCACCCTAGTCTATTGGCCTCCTTGTTTAATTAATTTAACAAAAGATAGAGGGTTGTGGCACATGAGGAAAGATTGGTGAGAAGCTCTGGAGGGTTTAGAGTAGGTGTCTGCCCTATGAGGGCAACCATGAACTGGGTCAGCATTCTGGGCTGTGTTTCCAGAGCCCATGTGAGACTGTGTGCCGAGCCCAGTTCCCCACAGGGTGTGCCCTCTGAATAGGCTTGTGTCCGTGGCTGACTGGAATGGCCAAAGACCCAAGGGCAAAGGCCAAATGGAAGGCCAGGATCCCTGGTCCTAGAACACTAGGGAGCTGAGACCATTATACACATATCCTATAAATACCAGGACACAGAAAATGAAATGGCCATGTACTTAGTGAGGCATCTAAGGCTGGGCTGCTTTGGTCAGAATTCCACAGAAGATGATGCGGTCCATACTTGGTGAACGGGAAACCAAAACATGGATGTAGCACATACTACGTGCTTCTAAGTGCTTTCCACATACTTATTTCCTTCTCATAGCAACACTATGAGCTAGGGTTATTCCTTTATACAGATTATTATACTATTCCTTTATACAGATAAGGAAAATGAGACCCAGAAAGGTCAAGTAACTCATCCACAGTCATAAAAGTAACCAGTTGAAACACAAATTCTCAGGGGCCAAGTAAATATGTAGCATTGATTAGTCCTGTTAATCTATGATATTTTTATAGAAAATATTTCTCTGGATAATCATGATTAGGTCACCAATTATTAGTGAAGAAGACCTGGGCATAGGGTGGGGAGTGAATGATCTGCCCTAACTCCAGAGCTTGGTTATTTTGGCTGTTTAACTGCTCTGCGAATTACGCAAAGCAGATTTTTCATTTCTGACCCATTGTTGGTCGATTTTACCTTCCATTCTGCCATTTCATGTTCAGGAATTAAAATTCCTTGTTCATTTTATTGAGGCAAACAAACTAGAGGAAACTAGAGAGAGAACTCAGGGAGGTTATGTGAAACCAGGGGAGCGAGAGAGGGGAGGCAACACGGAACAACAGAAAGGGCAACGGTCTTGGAGCCATCTTGAGGTCTCATGTGATTTATTTAACTTCCCTGAATCTCAGTTTTCACATCTGTAAGATAGCAAAAAAGGTTATCATCTTGTTGGGTTGTTGTGAGGTTTGAGATATTATATTCAACACATAAACGTAATGAAACTGAGGTGTCTGAAGTCACACTGCTAGTAAGAAGCAGGGCAATGATTTGGAGGATGTGGACCTGTGTCTATGTGCAGCTAAAGCCCACACTTGCTCCACTATGCCACACTGCCACCTTGGAATCTGGCCTTCAGAGGCACGAGCCATAGCTGTAGCCCATGTGACCCAAGTCAACCTTCCAACCCAGAAGGGCTTTTCTGTGTTGCTCCCCAGTACCTGGTCATTCTCCTCAAGGGTAGTAGATGGAGGCACTTCACCCACCTCACTCCGCTGTCTTAGTTTGACCCTCTAGGGCAAGGAGCTCCATTTTAGAAGGGTGAGTCTACATTGTCATTCTTTTTATTATGACTTGGAGCTCCACCCTGCTATACTAAGCAAAATCTGATCTAAAATTGCAAAGGGTGAGGGAAATAATGTGTGCATTTGTTTAAAATTCTGAGCATCTGAACTCATTTAAGTAGATTTAAAAGGGGCCAGGCTCCAGCTTCCATTCCCATATAAGCCTTGACTAGAAAAACCATTCACACCTTAGGTTGCACGTGAACCCATTTTATGGCTCTTTTTATTCTTCATTCTCCATTTCTCTCCTAAAGTGCAAAAACTGCAAGTTATCTCACAGACTGCTCTATTGCTTCCTATGTAGCTCAAGCCTGATCCTGGTTCCCACTCCACCTCTAGCTCTGCATCCTTGGCAAGTTACTTAACTTCACTAAGCTTCAGTTTCCTTGTCTGTAAGAGTTGCTTTGAGGATCAATGAGATAATCCACTTCGCATGGTGCCTGGCATATAGTAAGCACTCAGTAAATGTTAGCCATTATTATTACTAGCAATAAGTAACCGTTTCCACTTTCCCTATGTGACCAACTTGAATTAAGACCATTGGTTCTTTGCAAATCTCTGTGGGAAAGTCTACTTTCTAGTGTATATGATGGTATGTCACAGTTGGAGCTCTCAGCAACTTAAACTGATTTAATTCAAAACTGATTACTTTGATTTCAAGTCTCAAAAGAACCATCTCAGGAAATAGATCTCTACCTAAATTTTCTAAGTCTGAGCTCAAATCACCTTCCTTGTGAATCAGCTTTCAACAATAACTCCCTTCTTTTAAATCCTAAAGCACTGATAGTCCCTCCCATACAATTTTGCCATGAATTTATGTTTGTTGAATAATTATTGTTCTGTTGGTTCATTTACGTATATTGTCATCATTAAGCATTCACTTTTTCAACCAACTTTTCAGTACCTTCAGCCCGCCACGAATTGAGCTAATTAGATTTTAAACTGGTCAGAAGCGGGTCTCTCATTTCTTTGAGTTTCCTGAAAGTCCTGCAGAGTTCTCGGCACACTGGAGGGTACCTCACAGTTTTACACAATTATTATGTCCCCGAAAAATAAATAAAATAAACTCTTTGGGGGGTAAATTTTCCATTTGGTAGTTGGGCTGGCTACAGAGGGAAGTCTATTATGAACGCTTTGCAAAGAATCCTTTTGTAAAGCGAAAGATCCCTCCCTTCTTCATGCATCACATGCATGAATTCGAAATTTCTTGGATCGTGTTCACAAGCCGTCGCCACGGTTCGCTTTCTGACCCCACAGGACGTCGAAGTTCGGTTGACACAACTTCCCGCTAGGGGGCGCCCGACTACCCAGGGAGATTCCACCCGCACTGCGCAGCCTCCGTCCTGGAGTGGGCGGGAATTCGCGTGCAGACGCGCGTGACGTCACCGGAGGGCACGGCGTGTGGGTGGGGGCGGGGCCCCCCCCAGAGTTTCCATCTCACAGCTAAAAAGTAGGTTACGAGCAGGGGGCGGCGGCTGCAACTCTGCAGTATCGGGAAGATGGCGCCGCCGGTGACCGATCGGGGGCTGAAGAGCGTCGTGTGGCAGAGTGAGTGCGGTGGGGCAGGGGCTGAGAGAGGGAGGGCCAGCAGGCCGCCGCGCCGGGCCTTGCTTTCCCGCCCAGCCTGACAGTCTCTTGGGGAGCCGCCGCGGGCACTTGTTGCTCTGGGGTCCGCGCCCCTGTTAGGACTTCCTCCTGCTTTCCTTCCCAGCCCTATTTCTTGCCGGCACCAGGGACGCGGGCTTCTTGCTCGCGTCGGGCACCCCTCGCCTCGGCCGGGCTCTGGCCCCGAAGCCCGGCCCTGGGCGGGCGGCCCTCCGCCCTGCTTTTTCTCCCGCGGCCCCTGCGCGTCTCCCCGGCCGTGCTCCCCACGCTCCTCGGCTCCCGCCCGGCCCACCTGTCGCAGATGTCTCTCCACTCGAGATTGTGTGGGCAGTTTCTGTCCCGCCCCTCCTCTCCTCCCCACACTTGCGTTTCCGAAGACTGCTTATTCGGCTTGTTCGTGTTAGTACCAAGGAGGGTTTTACAACCGTACTTCTCAGTGTCTGTCCTTAAAAAATAAAACTGTTGAGCAGACCCTTCTTACTCTACTGCTAGAGGAGCCCACTGTCTAATGAGTTCTTGAGAAGGGACCATTGGCGTGGTTAACTCTCCTGCTGTTGCAGCTCTGCATAGC